TATATATAAAATTTGACCTTGTCAGTCTAAAATGAACGAGTAAATTAAAAGCCTGTTATCATCCTAAATTTTGGTATCAGACTGAAAGAGACAGTAGCAGTCCATTACAGCCATTTAATTAGTGTTAATAAAAGTGTTATAAAGTTCAACTGTCCAATAAAAGCCTGACCTCTCCAGCACTGAACAATCAGCTCCAGAAGGAGAGATCTAAATAACTTTGTGATGTTTCAAGTGTATAAGGTTCATCCAGCTTCCTCTCAGTAAACACTGATAATCAAATAAATTAGTATTTTTTCTATTTTGAATAGAAAATAAAGGTTATTACATTCACACATTTTTATAGAATACATCCAGAAATTAATCTCACACTGGGATAAATGATCACTGAACACTCACTTTTAACGCAGTCGTCTCTGATCTTTGTCAGAGTCCTCTCTTTATTGAAGTTTTTCTTTCTTTTCTCAGCATTTATATCGTTGTCGATCTTTGAGCGAACAAAGTAGAACTTCTTCTTCATCCTCTGAATCTCGCGAGCGAGTTTCACGTCATTTTCTCTGAAGCGAGTGTCTGACATGATGATGAAGAAGTCATACTTCTCAAATTTAACACCCTCCAAGTATTCGTCAGCTGGATACTTCAAGGTGCCAATTCCAGGAAAATCCCATAAGATAACATTGGGATTCTTTGGATGGAAGTATGGTTTAGGATCCATTGAGGATTCTGTAACACCAGTAGGAGCAGCTCTCTCATCATCATCACTCACACCTCTGAACGCATTTACAAAGGTGGATTTACCAGAACCAGATTCTCCAGTTATGGCGATATTTAGTTTGTTGTCGTCCATCCTCAGTGGCTCCTTGACTATTCCAACCTTTTGTAACTGATTTGCAGTCAGTTTGAACAGCCTCCCTGATCATCGATAACTGCAGTAACAGAGATGTAGAAATTTATTACACATCTGGAAAAATAATAATACCTATTTTTTATTTCAGTTAACATGGAAAAACTGTATGATGTTAAGGGCATTTTAGTGTATTGTAATGGCCTTAATACATTTCATAACACTAATAATTTAAAGTTCTTAACATTTTAGCTCTTGAAATTTCCCTGCAGGTCGACTGCAATAATACCAGAGGAGCTATGAAGACAACAAAGAAGTTTCACTGCTGGAGCTGTTCCAGTGATCACAGGTAATGTGAGGTCTTTGGACAATACGATGGAGGAGCTTACTGAGCTGATTAATGGGAGCTGAGTGAGTAAGTAAAAAGTGCAGGGACATTACATTACATTCTCAGTAATCAACTGTAGGAGTTGTTCAATCAAATAAATATACCTAAGTGAGATGGAATAATATAGCAGTGTTAGCTTTTTATACCTAGTCTTGTTACAGCTACACAAGGCAATATAGCACACTAATAATTTCCAAAGTAGTGTGATTTACATGCACAAATTGGAGTCTATTAGATAGATATGATACAAACCACTGCAGCACAGTACCTGTAATACCTACAGCATGTTCTAATCGCTCTAATAGGATATTATGGTCGACAGTATCGAACGCTGCACTGAGGTCTAGCAGGACAAGCACAGAGATGAGTCCACTGTCAGAGGCCATAAGAAGATCATTTGTAACCTTCACTAAAGCTGTTTCTGTGCTGTGATGAGCTCTGAAACCTGACTGAAACTCTTCAAATAAACCATTCCTCTGCAGATGATCTGTTAGCTGTTTGACAACTACTCTTTCAAGGATGTTTGATATGAAAGGAAGGTTGGAGATTGGCCTATAATTAGCTAAGACTGCTGGGTCTAGAGATGCTTTTTGAGTAAAGGTTTAACTGCAGCCACCTTGAAGGCCTGTGGTACATAGCCGATTATTAGAGATAGTTGATCATATTTAAGATCGAAGAATTAATTAATGGCAGGACTTCTTTGAGCAGTTTTGTAGGAATGGGGTCTAAAAGACACGTTGATGGTTTGGAGGAAGTAATTATTGAAGTTAACTCAGAAACTGTTTTCAGGAAACAAAATGTTCTGTTAGAGTTGATTCTTTTAAGATTGTCATTTGTGCAAAGTCACATGACCATTGCTTTTATGTGTGTTGATAATATGTTCTTTCCATATTAGATTTGAACCTTTGCATGCAGGCAGCAGTCTCTTCACTGTAACTTTCTGTTGCAAATTTCGAAACCACAAGTTTCTGTTCTTTTTGAGATTAGCAGGACTGTTTACTTCTGCTTTTGTACATGTTGGTTTGTTAAAAGGTCATGCCCTATATGGAGTGACTTGAGAAGAGGTCACGCCATGTACGATGTGACAGGAAAATCTCACACACACACACACACACACGCTCTGCTTAACTACTTGTAACTGCTTGTTGTCAATAAAAGAGACGACGAGGGAAGTCGGAGAGAGAACTTCTCCAACAACAAAAAATTGCTCGCGCATATTGGGAATGTCGTAGGCACCGATCAGTTTTCTATCACCCATTTGCTGGGAGTAAGGGCGCCCTCTGTTTGCGAGGTGCGCCTGCTGCTTGCGGTACAGGGACGAGAGGGTGGGGCTGCGGGGGATTCTCTGGCTGGCTGGAGCAGCATCTAATAACCAACTCGCAAAATAAAACAAAACAACAAACACGAAAACACCAGACATCATGATACAGACTTATAATTTGCACCAATGTTTTTCCTCGGTGCGCCTGCTCGCTGCTGAAGTCAAAGTAAACTTTATTGTCATCTCCGCTCCAGTATATAGAGAGACGAGACGACGAGGCTCCAGTTACAGCAGTGCAAGTAAACAAACAATAAATATAAGAAGAGTAAGAAAATAAATACACACTTTAGGACTCGGGGTAAAGGATCAATAACAATTTAAAATGTATATTTTACAGTTTGATGATTTAAAGTCTCACACACAAGCCGTTGAATGGGGAGGGGGGCGGGCTGCTTCCAAATAGAGCACATTTCATTCATAATGTTGTAAATTCAATCCCATTATGGTCTGGTCGGCTGGGTGACAGACTTTCTGATCAATAGGTCACAATGCATGAGAGTGAATCATGTATTTTCTGATGTGCTCTCCTCCTCTACTGGATCACCCCAGGGTTGTTGCCTCTCTCCCCTTCTGTTCATTCTGTACACAAATGAGTGTCGCAGCAGTTTCACGAACAGACACATCCTGAAGTTTGCTGACGACACAGTAATCGTCAGTCATCTGAGATGTTTTCTTTGTTTTATAGAAGTTTTATCGAATCTGTGATGTCTTTTTGTATCGCTGCGTGGTTTGGTAAACTGATGGTGAAGAATAAGAATCGGTTGGGACTTCTGGTAAAAACTGCAAAATTTCAGGGCGCTGGCAAGATGGACTTTTGGCCATTTACAATAGAAATGTGCTTAGAAAGGCTCATTCTATTATTAATTGTGTGAACCATCCACTTCACAGTGAGTTTGAGTTGTTGCCTTCCGTCCGCCGTTTTAGAGTTCCTGTGAGGAAGACTAAAAGACTCCAGGTCTCTTTTATCCCTACTGCATCTTATCTCCTCAATGGCAAAAAACTATCCTTGAACTTTCTATCACTATTATTGTCGTTATTATTTTATAGTATTGTTCTGTTTATTTATATCCTGCTGCTAAACTAATTTCCCCTTGTGGGACAATAAAGAAATTGAATTGAATTGAATTATGTATTCATGATTTGAATCCTGGGTTGTGCAAAATCCCTGAAATAAACCCTAGACAAAGTGAATCTGTGAACTAAGGTGTAGGTCTATTAGGTCATGTTGTGGTGATCCTCGGGTTGGGGGATTTGTGTTCATACTGGAGTGCAAAATTAAAACCAATGGAAGATGGACAAGAAAAGTTCAAAGCCATCAGTTTAGAAGAAGGAGAAGAGGAGGAAAAACGAGCAAAAGATGCAGGTAAGCAGATGTGTGATTGGATAATGGCAGGTCATCCTGAAACAATCAGAATACTTTATTAATCCCTAAAGAAATTATATGTTAGTTGCTCCAAGAAGAAAGTGGTAAAAATAGATCATCCTGTTGCCGATTTTACACATTTAAGAAAAAGCACCAATGAACATGCTCCAGTGACTAGCCAGCACGTCATGGAGTGGGTGGGAGGTATTATCCAACATTGTCTTTATCTTGGACAACATCCACCTCTCAGACACCACCCTAACAGAGTCCAGCTCCATCCCCACAACATTACTGGCCTTGTGGATCAGTTTATTGAGTCTGTTGGCATCTGTGACCCTCAACCTGCTCCCCCAGCATGCAACAGCATAGAGGATAGCACTGAACACAACAGAGATACAACAAGATAACATTAATGAGTAGTGATAGTGAAAACATCTGTTTACGTTTGTTAGCCACTTGGCTATGATAGTAAACAGTAGACACTGCTGTAGCTTACTGAATCTTTTGGACTGTGTTCAGCACAATATTAATTAGTCATTGTCAGTTGTTGTTATTGTATGATGAATTATGATGGCTGTTTGTTAGCCATTGCATACTCTCTCTCTTCATATATATAAGGACTCAGGCAAAGACTCGGGGAAAAGTGCAAAGGTTTCTTTACAACATCAAGTGAGCTATATACAAATGTGGGGAAGGCCAGGGATCCACGGGATGGATTGGGACACCACACTCGATTGTTGATCCACACACAACGATCAGCTTGAACTGTACTCACGCTCCGCTCTCGCCACACAATACGCACGCATGCACAGGCATCCAGGGAACGTTCGTCATACAATAAGCCAGCGACAATAACCTCTGAGCCACTGTCTTAAATAGTGGCCATGAGAAGCAGGATAACGAGCCACAGGTGAGTGATTGTTTGCAGGTGTGTGGGCCAAAGGCTGGAGCCCACAGTAAGCTCCACCCAGGCAGAAAGGAGACAGGAGAGAGAGAGAGCGAGCGAGAGAGAGAGAGCGAGAGAAAAGCAACAGCAAAAACACGTGGCCCACCTGAGCTGACCGGGTAGACACAGGGACCCAAAACCCTAAAACCCAAAGCAACAACAAAGTAATGATTATAAGTTTAAGAGAAATGTACCGCCTTTTAACAACCTCACCAGCTATTTGTGTAGAGATTGTTACGTTTACGAGGTGCACGCAAATGCATCACAGTCATTACTTTTTCACTGAGTGCAGTGAGTCTGGGTTCATCTGCTGTAGATGTGCAGTTTGTCAGTGAAGATATCACTGTGACCTGACTGAATGGTTACCACCATGTCATCGAAACTATGATAAGACTCTACATTGTACTCATGCAGCTGGCTGTAAAACCAGGCTTTAAGCATTCAGCGTTTACTGTAGCTGATAATAAAACTCAAATTACTCTGACTGTTCATCATTAACTGACTGCAACATCTTGGGATGTTTTTTACATTTCCTTTCTGCTTTAGCTCCTGCTGAGCTTAAAATGCTGAAAACTGTTGAACTCAGAGACTCTTCTTCTTTGAGGCAGTTGGCAAACAAAAAATTGCTAAAATCCAACAGCACCACAAACCAGCAGGGAGAGCAGATCGAAATGTCAGGTAGCATATATTCAGAGCTTTTAAATGAAGAAAAAGATCTTTTTTTAAAAAAAAGATAAAAGTTCAGATAGGTGGGGGTAGAACTGCAGACTGCCCAGTAAATCAGCAGCCTCACTTTTACAGTAAGGGGGATAAATGTTGCAGTTCAACAAGTTAAAACGAATCATATAGGTAACTGATGATGAACCAGAATCTTGATAATAATTTAGTTACATTAATTTTTGTGTAGAACATTTAACAGTTTGTAACGGCGGTCTGGCGAGGAAGGACTAGTAGGTCCAGAGGGGCGCGTGGTGTGAAGGTTAGT